ACTGATAAGGATATCTATCTCCATATAGAGTAGTTTTTGGAAGGGATTTGAGGGGCTCACAGGCTTTGGACTTTCTGTCCCCAAACAGAAGAAACTTGCTTCCAAATGGGAGCCAGGGTTGGCTGTTGTTTCTTCATCTGAGCTCTTCTTCAATTCTCTTCCTAAGAGATCTCTTTAAGTTCTGGTTCCAACTATAGCCTGTATTACCCAGTCCAAGTGCCAGAGCCTTGGGTGAAGAGCCCTTCATTCCTGTGGAGTTTCTCATCATCTGGGAGACAAGCTGACTCTTTTCTCTATACCTCCACTATTAACAAAAGACAATACAAATTCCTCTACTTTTAATATTTCCAGCTGGCTTAGAATAGCAAGTTTTTGGATTCTATTCCATCTAATTTAGGGGAGAGACATGGGCTTTTTTTTTTTTTTTTTTTCAGAGAAGCTCAATCTTCAGTAATGTGAGCCTAAAGATTTATAAAATAGATTTATATTAAATTATGTTAATAGAAGCCTAGTAAATGCACCATTTAATTGCATGGAAAAAAATTTCCCTTTTAAGAGGTCTGTCACCTTAACAGGTACATTCAAAGATTCCCTGTGAATAATGAAAATAGGAACAATTGCTTCATTGCTCTGAGCTGCATTCATGTCTAGGACAGCTTTAGGCTGTGTTTGGAGAGGATGGGAGGAGTTCTTTTTAAAGCAGTGATTGCTCCTTTAAACCCAATTTCCTCCAGCAAACAGGTTCTATTGGAAGTGTCACGTTCCCCCTCTCTCTTACACCCTTAAGGCTGGACCTGAGGTCTTACCCAGAGCTGTCATGGTTGGTGGTTTAGTTGTGCTAAGTCACGTCTGACTCTTTCGACCCCATGGACTTTAGCCTGCCAGTCTCCTCTGTCCATAGGATTTCCCAGGCAAGAATACTGGAGTGGGTTGCCATTTCCTTCTCCAGGGGATCTTCCCGACCCAGGAATTGAACCCAGGTCTCCTGCATTGCAGGCAGATTCTTTTTTTTTTTTTTGCAGGCAGATTCTTTACTGGCTGAACTACGAGGGAATGTTTTTTCCTCCTTCTTCTAGCCCAACTCTCAGTGTCTTCCTGCCTCCCTCAAAGAAATCTCCCAAGCAGTGCCATGAAAAATGAGTGAAAACTTCGGAAAAGAAGTGGGAAGAAAAGAAAAAAGGGGAAAAAAAATCTAGTAAAAATAACCCTTTCCTTTCCACTTACACGACCACCATCAGGAGTTCCCCCCACATACACACACATGTATGGGTACACGCATATACACACACAGACCCAGTTGCCCTCTGTGACCACCTTTCATTTAGAACAACCACCTTTCTGGCAATTCGCTGACCCCAGTCAGGATGGACCTAGCAAACTGCATTCCTAATCCTGATTAGATTTAAGTGGGCAGCACTGGTGAGGAGTGGGGGCGAGGGGAGGAAGGAGGAAGTCAGAAGATCAAAGACATCACTTCAAAATTTTTGTTTCTCCTAAACTATCTTTGGATATCCTTGGGGGGATATGTTGAGGGTTGGCAGTAGGGAGTAAACTATGATGGCCACTTCAGAATAAGGAGAGGAGTAGGATCTACTATCACAGTGTCTCTATCACCTGGGTCCATGGGTCCATGCTGTTAGTGCCTCTATCACCAAGGATAGCTACTGAGTCCCTCTGCCCTCGTCGTGGTTTGCAATCAAGAAGCCTTGCTGAGTGCCACTATTGTTGTTAGGCCCTTGGCCTTGGGCTTGTGTTGGTCACTGAGTGGGAGGGTGAAGGCGAAAGGTCTTGTCTCTTCCTCTTTGCTGGGAATGTCTGGACTGGGTCAGGACACAAAGGCAGGAGGTCATTCTGCCTGCTGTCCCTCCTCCCCAATCCCCAGCTCTTTTCCTGTTTAAAGAGGGGGATCCATCCACACTAATGGCTCCTGCTGCTCACGTCTTTCCTCTTAGTGGAGCAAGGTCCTGATTTTTAATCATTTTTATTCTATTTATCTTTCCATGATGTGGTTATAGGCCTCCAAGAGGCCAAACTTTGTGGGAACAGAGTTCTGTGTCTCAAGTGGGATATATTGAAAAACTAGCATCTAGGGCTTCCCAGGTAGAAAAGTAAGGGTGACTCCACGCATCTTAAACATTCTTTTTAGCAAGTCTGGGGACAATTCTCTTAGAGTGGCTGATGTCAAGATTGTTGAGCAGAGTATTTGTACAATGAATGTTGGCCTAGGTGTTCTTAACCTAAGAAGAAACTATAGGTCTTTAAAATCAGACAGATCCCCACAGCCTTATTCCCAAACTTCCTAAAGCTCAGCTGAAATTTTTCTGGGAGGAAGGGGGTTGGGGAAGTGTAAAATAGCAGACAAGGAAACCTCATGGTCCACTCTGACAGTGACAAGAAGATTCACTCTGCTCCAAATGTTCTAGGACACGGAGGACCTCCCCAGGAACCCCGGAGAAACTTTCTTTGGAGGATGTCCAACGTCTTTGCCTGAACCTTTTTGCCTCTGGTGCAGGATCCCCTGTTTATTCTCTCTTCCCTAAGGAACCTCCCCAAGGGCGCTGGCTCTGGGCGGGGATGGGGGTAGTCAGGCGAGGTGCAGATGCTCAAATCTGCGAGGGCAGAGACTTGGGGAGGAACCAGCCCGAGCGTGGGGACGACGGAAGGGCCGGGGCGGGTGCGGATGGGATGGGGACGGAGTCGTCTGTCCAGGAACCAGCTGAGGCTTCCCTTTGGGCAGGAGGGCTCAGAGGTGCAGCCGGGGCTCTTTGGCTTTCGGTTACTTCCTGCGAAGGGATTCTTCCTTAGGCGCCGGTTCTTTGCCCTACGAAACCCCCTCCTTTCCACCCCTGTACTGGTGCCCAGAGATGCCTGTTTATTAGTAAGGAGGAGGAAGGGATCTTCGGAAAAGGCGGCGGGCTAGCGCCCCTTCCCCTTAGCCGCGACTGGCGAGGGGCCCGAAGCTCTGCTCGACTGTGAGCTAGAGAGCGATCCGGAGCCTGGGCCCCTGCCCGGGGCAGGAGCGAGCCGGTCGCCTGTGACCACTGCGCAGGCCCAGTCCCACGTCCCCGCACAAAGCCCCAGCAGCTCCCCATTCAGGGAGAGCCGTCCAGCCTCGCCCGCCCCCCCACCCCACCCCCGCGCCTCGCCTGCCCAGACCAGCACCAGAATAAGAGTTGACAGCGGGCCTCCGGAGTGTGAAAGGAGACTTTCCTTTCCCCTGAGTTCTCTGCAGTGTGTGTGCGCGCGTGCATGTGTGTGCGTGTGTGTGTGTGTGTGTGTGTGAGAGAGAGAGAGAGAGAGAGAGAGAGAGAGAGAGAGAGAGAATCTCTGGCCAGGGAAACCATGGTCACATCTTCCCCCCTCTTTCCTCCTTACCATACTAGATCTGCAACCTCACCTGTTCAGATTTCAGTCCCTATAGACCTAAAGTAAATCAGACCTAAAGAAGTGTGAGTATGTGTTGTTAACAGTTCCTATGGCTTGGACCTTTGGGGTGGCATCTTTACAGAAAATAATCAGAAATAACACCAGTGGGTGTTAGTGGGACTCAGCCTTCAGGGAATGAGACTTCCTAGTTTCCATGTTCCAGCTTCACTCTCCATTAAAGGACAGAACCTAGCTGTGCTGAACAGAGAGTCAAGTTGCCTTGCTTGGCAGAGCCAGGGCAGAGCCAAAGTCTTCTCCAGAGCCAGGCTTGCAGGAGTGAACTCTGCCAGGTGATGGGAGCAGTGGGACTAGAAGGGAACTAATTTAGGTGAAGAGGAGACAAGGAAAAAACCCCCAAAGTCCAAGGGCACCTCTGAGCTATTTTGGAAACTTGAGAATGCATATCTTTGGACAGATTAACTCCCTATTTCTGAAAAAAAAAATTTTTTTTTCACAGCAGTGGTGGAAACCAGCTAATTTCTTAGCTAGACAAACACTCAAAAACGGTATTGTTTCTAGTCGCTTGTAGCATCATTCATAAGTTTCCATGCGTTTGCTTCCAACCTGTTTGATGGATTGTTGCCCTTCCTAAAACAATTCCTACTATTCAGATTCCTTCACATAATTTGGGTTTTAGTATTTGAGAGAAATGAAGAAGGAAAAAAGGGAGGAGGGACTGCTACAGAAAATAAATAGGGGTAAGGGACTTTCAACCTCCCCTGCTAAATAAATGGAAAGGTTTGCCTGTCATTAATTGTCAGTGTCACTCTAAATGGACTTATCCTGTCAGCTGTGAGGAAGTGAGCTACTTTAAGAACGGGGAGTAATACCTGGTAGGCAGCATCATGACTGAAAGTGTCTTGGCAGAAGTTTTGGTGACACAAATCCTACAGAGTCACAAACTCCCTCAACCAAGAGACTCACGCTATCAAGTTACAGTCATTACTTTGCTGTAAATTCTCAGACACTTTTATTCTCTATCCATAGAGGGGAGAGACAGGGGAAGTTGGTGAGAGCCAACACCGCGAATTTAAACCTTGATTTTTGTCTCATTTATTTAAATAAATATAAATATAAATTTTATATAAAACTATTCACAAAGAGACTTCCAGTGACTTGGATTTGAGACTCTCCTCAGGCAAGTTTTCAGAAAGCAAGACCTACAGGGTTTAATTTTCTAAGTTATTTGCAACTCAATACCTTCATTTAAAAAAATAATCAAGAAACCCCATGTTCTTATCTGGTTCTGAAAGACAGGGAAAGGGAAATGACATGTACTTTAAAAAAACCCACATACAGTTTTAAACTTAAACCAAGCCTGTTTTTCCTTTGTTATATGACAAAACTGAGTTGAATCTAGATTATTTACATAAAAAAAAACAACAACGACGACCTATAACTGTGAGTGAGCCCCAAACAGACAGATTAAGGAGACCGGAGAAGGGTCAGGCCCGGTATGCACGCCCCTGGGGAAAGCTCCTCTCTAGCTTCTCCAGGTGGGACCACCGAAAGGGTGAGGATTTTGGTCCCTGGGTGCCAGCCACGTCGGGAGTTAGGGGAGATGCCGGGAGCGTGGGGGGGGGGGGTGCGGCCCTCCCTTATAAGGGGGAAATCTCCTTGTCGTCGTTGGCCGAGGCCGGCGACAAGGAGTCCTCATCCTCGGAGCGCGCGAAGTGCGCCTGGCTGCCAACGCACTTGCAGCCCGCGTGACTGTTCCTTTGCGTGCCCTTCCCTTCCTTCTTATGCTTCACCCTGCGGTTCTGAAACCAGATTTTCACCTGCTTCTCTGACAGATTCAGGTACGTGGCGATTTCGATCCTCCGGAGTCGAGACAGGTACATGTTGGAAGAGAATTCCCGCTCCAGCTCCAGGAGCTGCGTGCTGGTGAACGCCGTCCTCATCCTCTTGCCATTGGGTACCTGGCTGGCGTCCGAGCCCCCTGCAGACGGGCCAAGAGAGGGCAGAAAGGTAATTCTCGGGCGAGGCGCTCCCACCCCACGGCCTCCCTTGGAAATGATGCCTCTCAAGGACCCACCCGCGAAGCTCAACCAAACACCTGTATCCATCCCTCACTCTTTCTCATTTGGAGACAAATCTTTACTTAGCCGGGAAGGACAGAGACGCCCAAAGCAAGCCAAGGCCTTTGATCTCGGGGATGTAAAGTCAGAGGATTAAAATGGGGGCGGGGGAGGGGTTGGCAGAGTCTTGTGGTCTCCTGTCCAGCCTAGCGGAAAGGCAGGCTTAACCAAAAGCATCGAAACGCTTTTAGCCAGCCTCGACGCCCGATTGCCACACTTAAGTTCAAACACACCAACCCCGAACCTCAGTCAGTTAACCTCGGGTTTCTCAGCCCTCAAGTTCAAAGCCTCAAAGGGCCCGCTATTATCCCAGACTCGAGCACCAGGTACTGGAGTCGAGCGCACCAAGCTTCTTGGAGAGGCTGGCAAGGCTAACTTTCACCTTCTCGGAACTTACGGGGACAACTCCGCAGTTATTCTAAAAGCCCCTCCTTCGTCCCCTCCGCCCACCCCACAGGCTCCCACTTCCTCCACTGAAGGCGCGACGTTTTACTCCCGGGAGCCGGCAAGGCGTAGCGCGCAGGTGCCCAGGACCCGCCCTACCCATGGTGAGGCAGTGAAATCTCCGCGGGTCCGCCACGTTGTAGGTGGTGGCGGTGCAGACAGGTGCGTGGTGCTGCGGGTGCCCCAAGGCCGCCGCGGCCGCCGCCGCTGCCGCAGCGGCCGCCGCTGCTGCTGCAGCCGAGCCGGGCTGCTGGGGCTGATGGTGGTGATGGTGATGCTGCGGCGGGTGGTGGTGATGGTGCGCGTGGCTCACGCGCGGGCAAAACTGTGCGTCCCCAGGACCCGAAGAAAACTGACTCTTGAGCAGGGGCAGGGCCCCGGCGGCTCCTGCCGCTCCGCCACCCGCGGCCCCTGCACTCCCGGCCCCTGCGTTCCCGCCGCCGGAGCTCGCGGGCCCACGAGAGGAGTGCAGGTGCGAAGTGACGCAGAGCGGGCAAACGCAGAACGCGCCGCTCTTGCGGGACGCGCAGCCCGGCCCGGACATGGACATCACCAACGGGGACGGCATGCCCAGCGGGATGAAAAAATCTGGCCCGGGGTGCGGCTCGGGAAGCGAGGACGCGGGCCGTGAGGAGTCCTTGATGATGAGCGAGTCGACATAGAAGGAGCGCGACATGTCGGGAGGGGTGGGTGGCTGGAGGACCCGGCTGGTCGTGGGGGCCCCCTCCCCTCTCCTGTCCAGAGTCTGGCCCCGGGCGCGGCGCGGACGCAGGCGGTCAAGCCCTTGGGGACGCCGAGGTGTCGGCGCCTGGACTGCGAACAAAGGGGTCCCTGGAGAGGGCTGGTCCTCAAGTCCCCCGCCCGACGCCCCGGCTCCGGGATTTTATAGCCCCCACCCCGACACGTGATGCTGCGGAGTGCAGCTCGGCTCTGGCTCCTCCGAAGCTCCCCACCCTCGGGATAGGCTGCCCGAGTCACAACAGAAGCGGCGAGGAGGGGCGGGCGCGCGGCAGGGAAGAATTCGGAGGAGGGGGATGGGGGAGACTTCGCAAAGTGTAGGTTTTGTTAATTTCCCGGGGAGGCCGGCCTCCTCCCCCTCTTTCCACGCTTTCCCGAGAAATCACAGAGCTCCATCCTCCATCCCACCCCTCTCCCTAGCCTGGGCCCCAGACCAACTCCTCCAAGCTTCCGGCTGCACAGCGCACCAGGTGGGGACTTGGAGGCCTTTCTAATCGGAATGCCCCGTGCTCCCTGCTCTTCTGTGCCAGCCGTGGATAAGGCATGGTATAGTGTGAAGCCTGAGGTTTAGAACAGGATTGTGCCGCTGTGGACGGGCAGCGGCCCAGCCCTGGAGCAAAGCGTGGGACAGGCACATACAAGCACACAGAGTCCCCCAGCTTTTGGACTTGGCCAGTGTCATTCAGGTGGTTAGTTGTGAGGCATCTGGGAGGCATAACAGAGAGGCCTCCCAGCTAAGAAGAGGAACTTTTCATTTTGATGCTTCAGAAGTTCTGAAGTGCTTGGCACTTCGGGCCTTCCTGGGACCACTCAGATCAACCATCTTTCCTTGTGCCTTTTTCTAACCCGAAACTTCCCTTTTGGCAGAGAGAGTCACTGAAAGGGTCACTCTTTTCTTTCTCCACGGGGTTCCATTGCTACATTTCCAAGCCAACCCTACAAACTCCAACCTAAGGACTTTGGGGAGAGGACCAAATCCTGGCCCTTCTGGAAACTGGGCAGGGGTTGAGAGAAGCCTTTGCTCTGGGTCCTGCCATCTCCTACCCCTTTGCATTTTACAGATCTTAGGCAGCTATAAGACTAACTAGGAAGCACGCTCTTCTATGTACCCCCTTTAAAGCCCTTAAAAAGTAAGAGGAATTGAGCCCCTTGATGCCTCAGTATGGGAGAAGTGGTTTGGTAAAGGAAACCTCCCTGAATGGCAATGGCAGACTGGTGCAGCAAAGACTCTGCGAGAGACTAGCTGCCCTCCTAGCGGCTATTGATCTTTGGGGAAGGCAAGGCTACCGAAATGACAGCTTTCTCTTCTTTCACCCTGTAGAAAATCTGGCTGGAGCAGGGAGGGTGAGCAACAGCTCCAAGTCCAACCCTTTTCCTCAGATGGCAAACTTCAGGCCTGAGATCACAATGATGCGAAGAAACTTGGTGACCAGACCCCTCCACCTGTGAGAGCCAAGGGTCAAAATCCTAGGGGAGACAGCTTCTCATGTGGTGACGTAGCTGTCTATTTTTCTGTCTCTCCTTTTCCCTTTCCATCTCTGTGACCATCTCTCTTGCCTGCTAGAGAAGTATAATTGGGTTGTAGGGACGCCCCCGCTCTGGGGAGCCCAGGATTTATGGATGGCAATTAAAGTTTTATGAATTGCAGCTGAGGCTGGTTATTGAGCTATTTGAATGTGATTAGAATTCAATTAGAAAGCGGTTAGTGGACAGTGGGTCTCCAGAGTGTAAACAGACAGCTATTCCAGAAATGTGCTAATCCAACATCTTGTGACAACAATTAAGGAGTCTCAAGGCTTAACTCAGGGCAGCTCAGCTGTAACTGCTTTTGTGACACAAGGTTTGCCGCTGCAGCCATCGCAAGCTCTCAGCTTCAACCCAGCCTGCCTGGCCCAGCCTGTCTTCAAGTGGGCTTCAGATGGGCTTCAAATCCAGGCAGTCCCCGAGTCACTGCAGCCTCAGAAAGAAGACTGGGAGCTCTACCATTGGGAGATGCCTAGTGCCAGGATGTTTTTACAGGCCTAAATTGTTCAAATAGGTGACATGACTTCCCTGTTCACTTTATAAGTATATACATATTTTTTCACTTAAATTTTATATAATATATGCATTTATTTATTCACTGTGATCTGCAGTGGTTCTAGTTCTGTGCATGGGGAAAACTTCTATGCTGACATGCTGGGAGTTGTGCCTATGTGAGGACCATTTTATTTTAGAGAATCCTAATTATGATGCTTGAGCATCTAACTCAATTAATGTCTGACTACAGAAACATCCAGTTGGTGTGCTGGGGAATTTTGAAAAAAGTGAGAGGCTCCTAGGGTTGCTTAGGACTGCAAGGGGAGCAGCGGGTTGGGGCTGGCCTGAGGCTGAAAGCAGACCACAAGTGAGAAATGTTTCTATTAGGGTACTGGGTCAATTGCCAGAGCCCACCACGAGCAAGTATTTTGGGGTCATGTTCCACACTGGAGTCTCTCTTTAGTTCTCTTTGAATCTGTCTCTCCTCTTTCCCCCACGCCAGCCCCATCTTCGGAAGCTCCCCTTCCATGTGCGTTGTCCCCTCATCCCCCCACGGCCCTGGACAGCTCGGTGACTGACCCTGCTAGCCCTGCCCTTCCTCAGATAGCAGCTCCTCCAACCCATTTGAAGCAGAAAGGGACCTTGGGCAGGCCATTGGCATGCCCCCATGGGGCCCCCGCTGCCACCCAATTTTATTTCTCAGTGATCCTGTCCGATAAAATTTCATCGTCCATTAAGTAATCCCCGAAGTGAGAGCTCTTATGAGCCTATAATGAGCTCTAATTGCCACGACTCGGGGAGCCACGTGGAAGGATTTATTCGGCATTAAGCAGTCGGGTACAGAGTACAGGCTGTTACCTAAGCCATTGCTTTCATAATTCAAGGAGAAAATTAGTTCTTTTGTGGGGGGGGAAATCCTTTGATTTTTTTTTTTTCCTTCCTCTTGCTGGGGATGATAGAGGATGGCTTTGCTTTGTCTTTGATGATGTCACAACTGCAAAGGTAACAAAAATTGTCCCCCACCATCCCCTACCCCTGAGCAGTCGGGATACCCCATCCTTACCCTCAAGTGAGGGGAAAAAATTCAAAGCAGTTCAGTAGAGCCACCTTCTTGCCTCTAAACTGTCCATCTCTAAGTCTGGATGAGGGGTTTCCTCGCAGCTCAACCTGGAGATGTGAATTCTTGGATATAGCTTTCAGAAAGTCTTCCAGTACTTTCCCCCATCTGGGATCACACCAGACTTGAACCCCACGTTTTCCTCTTCCTGTTTCCTGTCACCGGCAAAAACAGGGAAATAAGGGGCGCGTGAACTTGGCATTACTTATTCAACAAACGTAGAGTTCTGACCCACTGACGTGCTTACTGTTTTGTTTTTGTTTTTTTTCCCCGGCGGCTGTAACTCCTACTTTTCCCCTCCCTCTGCTCCCCGCCTCCCCCAACTCCAACTCCTTTTTTCCCTCTTAGTTTCAGCATTTGCCCACACGGTTCTGCTGCCGGATCTTCTGCCCGATACGGAGGAGGCCGCAGCCGGGAGTTGGCGGGGCCGCTTCGGATTTATTTGCTCCTCTTACATTGATTTCATATTAGTTTCCAAAGCGATGAATGATCTCAAAGCTGGGTTTTGTTAGCTGAACACAAACAGGAGACAGGACTTACTTGCCCCCAGCTCCCTTTAATGAGGTCATTATCAAAGCGTGAACAAGTCTATGAATGTTTTATTGAAAGCGCATCGTTAACTTGTATCCATCCTTTTCTCCAAGTGGCATTGTGATATTGCTGTCTGTGGCACATCTTACCCGATATAGCCCGAGATTTCCCCATTCTCTGTAACCAGGCAACCCTTTCTGAATACCCCAAAATTGAAAAGAACCGCTTAGTCTTCAAGAAAGTCCTCAATAATAGTGGAAAAGAACAAAGATCCAGGAGACAACAAAATGCCACAGGGGTGACTTTTCATGAGCAATTATCTCTCATTAATCAGAAGAACAGCTGCAATATTAATTTTCTCTCTTTCTTCCTCTCTTTTCACAGTCCCCAACATTTGAATAATCATAAATTTTGATTTTATGAAGGAGTCACATTTCAGGGGCCGCAGGAAAGCAGCTACCTAGGTGAAGACAAGGAGAAAACGCTCTCATTTGATTTTTGTTGTTGTTGTTTGGGTAAAGCTGCCAACAAAGCAAAATGGAAAAATATATATATAAATAAGAAAGAAATACGGGAGAAAATGGTCCTCCCCCAACACTTCTTCTTGTAGATGGTGACTGAGAAGCAGGACTTTTCCCGATCCCCCTTCTAAAATCTCCCCCTCCTCCCCCTCCTCCCTTGGACCCACTCCCCAGTTGTGTTGTGAGCAGGGCAGAGGGAAATGCCCCGGCGTCTGGCGTGGGAGTTTCGGCCGGGTTTCTGCCCGTTTAACTTGCAGACGTGAAGCCAAGCGTTGTCGATATGACCAAAGGGACACTCTTTGGGCGTAACTTGCATTGTGGCCATCAAAAGCCCGCCGGCCTTGGATTAGCCGAGACGTGCACTCAGCAGAACTGGGGCGCTCGCTCGCTTTTCAGGAGCCAGAGAGGAAATTGTTCACGGAATGTGTAGCCAGGGTGGAAAATGAGGGTCCCCAGATGAGGCTGTAACCTGCAAACGGGCTTGGGGGATTTCAAAGAATCTCATTAAGGCCGAGACTGCAATTAGCAAATACACACTCTTAGAGAACCCAAGCCCCTCTTGAAAAGCCCCCAGTGGGGAGAAAGACAGGCGGTTGGGAGTCAGTCCCCCCGTTCCTGCGCTGACTGAGTGGTGAAGACTCAGGCCCTGGCTGCCCCTTCGCCTGCCCCACTGCCGTTACTTTTAATGCGTGGCTGGGGGAGGCCGGTCCCTGGGGAGCACAGGCTGCGGACCTTGTGCTCACCCACCACCAGAAATGATCTTGCCTGTCCCCACTGTTTATTCAGAACCGATGGGCCTTTGAGAAACCTGAATTCGCCTTTGTGCTCGCCACAGGCGCAAGAGTTCAATTCGGCCCTCAGAGGGGAAGGGGTGGGGGAGGTTCTGGGAGAGAAGTGAGGAGTTTGGCCGAGAATTCCAGGAACGGCCTTCAGAACAAGAGTTTTGACGGCACCCAGTCCTCACCACGGCCCTTCTGCTCCCCGCTTCACCTTAATTAATATTCACCCAGTCCCAAATCCTTAAGCCTGACAAGGCATCCCTCCCCCATTTAAAGCTCTCCTCT